TAAGGGAAATAGACCTTGACATTTGGGAGTTGTCGTTGCTGGGATTTATAGTTCACCTACAATCAAAGAGCACTCCGAACTCCATCAATGATGGAATTCAACCAAACATGGCATACAGGACTTCCATGACCAACAGAACACACTGGAAGGGTTTGTTGGATATTGACCTTGAATTTGGGAGTTGTAGCTCACCTACATCCAGAGAGCACTGTGGACTCAAACAATGATGGATCTGGACCAAACTTGACACAAAAATTCCATATGCCTAAATATGAACACAGATGGAGTTTGGAGGAAATAGACCTTGACATTTGGGATTTGTAGTTACTGGGATTTATAGTTCACTACAATTAAAGAGCATTCTGAAACCTACAAATGACAGAAATGGGGCAAACTTCCCACACAGAACCCCCATGACCAACAGAAAATACTTAAGGCCATCCAGTACAACTCTCTTCATCAGGGCAAGAAAATGTAATCAGAGCCCTCCCGAGCCATCCAGTCATAAATATAGATAGATATGATTCTCTCTCACACACACAGATATAGTATCATAGATTTGAAATAGACCCTTAAAGAAGGACTACGATATGTTGCATATTCCAGAGTTGGCAAACCAGACACACTCCACATCAACACTGACAAAGAAACAAGAAGAAATACTGTTTACTCACAAGCATAAAGGAATTACATATATTAGAAACCAACACTTTCTCATTACTTTATTTTCCAGATCAGCAGACTGGGCCACAGCAACGCGTGGCAGGGGACAGCTAGTCCTATTACATAAAATTACATTTAAACATACATCATACATAAATCACACACTGACAGAAAATACATACTGCATATCAGATATTTACATCATGATTCACAACAATAGCAAATTTTCAGTTATGAAGTAGCAACGAAAATAATGTTATGGTTGGGGGTCACCACAACATGAGGAACTGTATTAAGGGTTGCAGCATTTGGAAGGTTGAGAAACACTATTCTAAAGCAAGGGGTATGTTCCCTGTACCCCACTCCAGTTAGAAACTTGGCTGCTGCTCGTTGAACTAACTGAAGTCTTCAAGTTCACTGCAATCACTACAGGCCCCTCTTTGGCCCTGGGAGCCCATTTACAGGAGTTTCATTGGGGATTGCCTGTTATCTGGATAGTGCCAGGCTTATTTCCTAAGCACCGCATTGTATAGCTTGTGCCACCAGACCAGTGGTTTAAACAGAGAGTTTATTGATCCCATTCACAATTAGCATTGCATCCCCCTTACAATAGGTACAGATTGTGGGGCCCACTTTGCCTGTTTTGAACTCTTATGTTGCAACCCAGAGCAGGAACCGAGACCATAAGTAAACAATCCACCACACTTGACTGTGGGAAAAAACAATCCCTTTTTATTGATGAAAAATGGTTACAAAATAGAGGAAAATGCAAAGTCAAAAAGCCACTGTAAAATTCAGCAGTCAGGAATATCCATGAACATCCAAAAGCAACACTGTAAGAACCTGGAACCTGTTAGCAAACCACTAACCGTACTTGGAGCACTAGAAGCCTCTTGGGATGTAGGCCACGGGAAACAGGGAAATC